GCCTAGAAGCTTACCGGGAAATAAATGATCTGTTTGGGTTTCTAACAGATTTCTCGACAAAATCCGACGCTGAAATTAGACAGGCTTGCACAAAGTTTAAGGAACATTATTTCGAGGACATTGAGCCTGAGTTTATAGACGAAATGGTGCAGTATAAATACTTCATCTTACAATTAGAAGACGCCGGAAAAAAATTGTGCCTGCCGAAGAGTCTTACAAACTGATTATTGGTAACATGGCACAATCAACTTTCCCGAATGTAATGACAGCTTTGCAAATATATAGAAGTCTAATGATTACAAACGCCACTGGTGAACGAAACTTTTCCAAATTGAAATTAATTAAAAACTGTCTTCGTTCAACTATGTCTCAAAACCGTTTAAACTCATTGGCCATAATGGCAATTGAAAATGATGTATTGGAAAAGGTTAACTTTCAGGATGTCTTGGACGATTTTGTAACAAAAAATGTTAGAAGAGTTAATATTTAGGCTTATTGTATGATTTTTTTTAAATGCATATATTAATTACTTATATTCTTTTCGTTTGATTCAATATTTTTATTGAATAATGTGATAATGTACCTGTGTAGTAAAAAACAGCGTAATTATGAATAAAGTGTTGTGTTAGCGAAAAAATATATTAGGAAGTTAGAAGACGGTAGGGGGAGGGCCGAGACGAGCATTGCCTAGGGGCCGCGACATGCATAAGCCGGCCCTGCATTCACCAAAACATATCTGTGATTGTCGTCATACACCGGTGAGGGTCCGAGTATCCAAGAATGTAATGAAATATTCGATCTGTCACTGACGTATTTGGTGTTTGTCGACATTCACCGGTGAAAGTCAACAACCACCGATTTCGGTCTTTCGCTGTGACATATATATATATATGTTTTTGCTTGTAATTAGAGTTTCAGAATATATATGTATATGGGTCACCAGTCTCCTATCTGCGACAATGGGTTAAGAAGCTTATTAATATTTGATAGGACTTATAGAGCAAGAATTTTTGATTTTTCAAAACCTTGTTTATTAGATGATTCTTTTTTTTCTTCTTAGATTAATATTGACGTGATTAAAAATAGTTTTTGTTATTTTGATGTTATAAATAAATATATATAATTAATAATTTTCTGTTATTTGCAGGTAATATGTTTGGCTTTAACTCTCTTTGCATTTCAAACAAAGGTAAGTACCATTTGATACAATTTTAATTTATGAGGAAAATTTTTGTTTGTTTTAACCTTCAAGCGGCCTTTCAGTAAAATATTTTTTATTAGTACATAATTTACTTTTTAATGATATTCTAATATTATCGGCACCAAACAATAAGTATATTTTGAGAATTTTTCATGTGAAACATTGATAAAAAAAAACATAACTACGAGGTTTTTGTTGTGAAAAATTTAGTATCAGCAATTTAATAATGAATTGCGTTTTTAAGAAAATTTCACATCATGTTATAAATTCTAATAACCTCTATATAATATTCATCTAAAAATTAAAATGTAATTAGAATAAAAAAATTAAAAAAACTATCTTTTCTTTGATCCACTTTTTTTTTGTTTCTGGCAAAATTATGAACCACTAAAATATCTATGGTGCTTTCATTTGAAATAATCAATATAATATTTTACCAAGATATAAGTTAAATTGAATCGACCAAACTGAATTCTTTATTTTTATTAAATTGAAGAAATTTCAAGCAATATATTTTGTGAACATTTTTTTAGTATGACTTTACCACGTGTTCTGGTTTGATCTTGGTTAGTGCCGTTGTATTCCTGGTGTTTGGTATAGTAGCTATTATCTTTCCGGGAAAGGTAAGTTTTTCTTCTTTTGTGCAAATTAAATTTTTAAAATGAATCAATCATGAATTATACATAACACTCATTTAAGGTTTTAATTAAATATAAATCAGGTTTATACAAACTGATGAGCAGTATTTAATTTTAATTGTATGTAATTGATAAGAAAAATGTACTTTGTTTCAATTTCTTTTTTTTTCCTTATTATTCAAAATGTTTAGACAACAGATTGCAAGTGTAGAATGCTTGAAACCTTTGAGCCGATTTTCAAGTACAATCTTAATGGCTCGAAGGTCTAACCTTAACTATTCTAGATAATTAGTCAAAGCAATATTTTAAGTTAAGAAATCAATGCGTTGTTTTTAAATCATGTGTAAGTGCAAAAATCGATGCATAGATGTAACGCGTGAACACGAATCGCAATAATGGATATTAAAAACGCGTGAATACGAATCGCGATACTGGATTTTTGAATCACGTGAATAAGAATTGTGATATGCGATTTTTAACCTAGCTCCATGATTTTTAAATCCCGTGAATACGATCCGCAACGCATAGCTTTTAAATCAGGCGGGGAGATTTCCGTATCTTGATCTGTGGCAGAATAATTGCCAAGTCTTGGCAACTTCCGGGCAGTGGCCCGCAAGAAACTAAGAAAACATCACAGAAAGGGGCAAACTCGTAGCACAAAACATCTACATATATTTTTTTTTTTAAAAATTAGCAAGTTTAAAATCTATTTGGCGTTTGTAGTTGGCGCAACAGATCACGATACGGAAATATCCCCTATCAGGCAAGTATGAAAATCGATGTTTGATATTAAAATCGCGTGAATAAGAGCCACGATATGCGATATCGATTCCAAATATTCAAAATGGCTAAAAACCGTCAAACCAAAAGAATAAAATTGGCGGAAGAATCACGTAAGACCTAATTAGCGGAAGAATGTATGAAAACACCTTGTTACGGGATAGTCAATCTTCAAAATTTTGTCAGATTATAATTTTTTGATACATGAAGGTCCAAGAACCAACGGTCTTGAGATATGTAGAATCCCACGATATTCGCATGCTTCGTTTCTAGTTTTTAGACCAGGAGGAATGATACGAAAAACCCGGAATTCACCCGGAATACAATCACTCCTGTATTAAAATATGGAATAAATTTCATTTTAAAAAAAAAACTATTTTAAGAAATCATTGATTGTAAAAATAACAATGTTTCTCAGTTAATGTCAATAACAATGTGATTTAATTTTTTTTTCCAGATTATGCAGCTGGTGTATGCATCAGTTGGAGCTATTATTTTTTCCTTTGTACGTAAAGAAAAAATCAGCTTTATTTGTATTTTTTATTTTACATTCGCCAGGGATGAGATTAGCCAAAAGGCAAAAAAGCTGAATTTCCACGATAGTAAATTTTACGCAAGCGCAACCCTTTAATAATAAATTCCAGACAGTTTAAGGTAATAAATAATGTGTTGACATACAATTGCGCACTAATCTATTTATTATTATATAAATGATTACATTGATACTTAACATTTAGTGAAAATAAAAATTACCAATTGAAAAAATAAAGCTGGAAATTATATTTTCCCTCAGTTCACATAAGAGACAATTATTACTTGAAAAACTACTTGGTTTAGCAAATTAAAACTACTGAGAATATACATTAATATTTCATTTCTTTGAATAAATACTATTATGTGATTTATAGTAAATATATCAGTAATATTACTTTTTAAATTATATTGAAAACAAAAACTTTAACAATGGACCGAATCATTATGTTCATATTACAGTCTAATCTAACTAGAGCCCTCTGAAACATATCAATAACAGTGAAGTAGACATATATAGTAACTCCTTAACATACAAAAATTGCTATTTTAGTTTGAAAATTTGCATGACAATCAGCAACTGTTTAGATAATTGTTTTTTATTTGATAAGAATTTTGCATTTTATAGCATAAATAACAGCAATTATAAATAAAATTTTAATGATGAGTTAATTAACTCTTTTTCCAACAAAAAAAAATTTAAATCCCTTTTTAAGTGATTGCTTTTGTATGCTATATCTTTTATGTTTGCTATATTAAGTCGTTAGTCCATCTTCAAACATCTTGTGACAAATCTTATTTTTTCTTCTTTGCAAGCACAGAATGTAAGTTTTGAATATATTCCCTTCCAGTTTCTCTGATGTTGTAACACTTACATATAGTAATAATCGTCGTTAGAAAAACAGTCACCTTTATAGTGACTAATTAAAAAAAAAAAAAACTTCTTACAAGAATCGCGATAGTTGATCTTAAAATTGTGTGAATATGAATAACAATTATGGATTTTGAAATCACATGAATATGAAACTAGATATACGATTTTGAAAATGAGAAAATACAAACTGGGATATAGAATTTTTAAAACGCGTGTAAATACAAATCATGATTCATAATTTTTAGATAGCGTAAATACGAATCATGATGCGTAATTTTAAGATTGCATAAATAAGAATTATGATGCAAATCCCAATGCCTTATTTTAAAATCACGTATAAATACGAAAATCAATGTTTAAACTTGAGTGAATACGAATCGCTACATAGGTTTATAAAAAGGTGTAAATACGAATCACAATATCGGATTTTTAAATCTCGTAAATAAGAATCGCAACGTACAATATGTATTCAAATCACGTGAATAAGAATCGCAACACGTAAATATGAAAAGCTATGTTTGTTAATAAAATCGTATGAATAAGAATCGAGATATTAGCAGATTCCAGGCTTGGGACCTCTTAAAGGTTTGTCAGAAGCAGCGTCATTTGAACTACGAAAATCAGATTTATCTGGAGGGCGGGTAAAAAATTCGGCAAATCATATCTGCTGCGTGTAAAAGGGGAGAAAATAGCTAAAATAAGTAAAAATGAGAAAGGATTGGTAGCTATGTAGCTTGAATTTTCTGTTTCTCTTTGAAAATCAGTGAATATTCTGAAAAAGCGGAATACTTAAAAAAAAAGTGAAATTTTTAGAAAATCTGAATTTTTGATAAAAAAAGCTGAAATTCAAGAGATAAAAGTGAAAAAATTCAGCTTTTCAGAAAAAAAAAGCTTTTTTAGAAAATCGGTGAATTTTCTGAAAAAGCGGAATATTTAAAAAAAAAGTGAAATTTTTAGAAAATCTGAATTTTTGATTAAAAAAAAAATAGCTGAAATTCAAGAGATAAAAGTGAAAAAAGAGCGGAAAAATCTCATCCCTGCATTCCTAAATATCTATTTGTGAAATACTACATTAAAAAGAAATCTATCTTTAGAGTAATTTCACTACAAGTTATGTGCAACGTATATTTTAATTTCATTTTTTACACGATTTTCAGTATCATTATTTAGCAAATGAAAAAGTCAATTTTATTTAAAGTTATGATTCAGTAACTTATTAGTTATTCTTCCCCCACGAATTTCATGCTATATACTATTGTTATTTTTTTTTTTTTGGTCGTATAAAACTATCATCAATAAGACTAGTGAACTAACTTTTGATTATTTAGCACCAAAGTAAATTAATATCTTTCACAGCCTAAATGAGGTTCACTAAAAATATGCTACATAGTTATTAACACACACAAAAGAAATGTCGCTGAATATTACGGCTTTTAATAATTAGGAGATAAACTTAGAGATACTGTGCCCTCAAAATTAAAGCAAAACATAATTTAAAAATCTGCTGTCATTCAAGAAATTTTTTGGGAAATCGTCTTTTTTATTTTATTTATTAACTCTAAAATTACAGAAATAAAAATTTTTAAAGTCTAAAAGATCTTTCGTTTTATACATGTGTAATATACCCTCCAATAAATATTTTTCCTAGTAATATATTACCTAGCAAAGGTAATATATTACCTATCGATCGCAAATATGATCCCCACAACATGGAAATAATTTAAATAGATATATCAGAGTAACTTATTGCCATAATCCAAAGTTCTGATAAAAGTTTCATTAAAATTTTGTTCTAAAAATGTCTGCTTCAACTTACCATTGAAATAAGAATTTTACGTTCACTTCTAATATTGATGAAATGTCTAGTTTACATTCAAAATCAGTAATCGTCAACAGAATCTGCATGTTTAATTTCATTCACTTGATTCTCACAATTTTAAATACATTGGGATTTATCTCTCATGTAGAACAAAGATGTAAATGATGAACTCTCGATGCAATGAGACATAAATGACATTTCAATCAATTTGAGAAAACTGGTGTAGAATGTAGAGAAACATCAGGGTGCTTATATGAAATTTTTCCAGCTCAATATGAAAATATAATAAAATGTTGTTTTTTTTAAAATATATTTGAATATTTTTTTAACTAGTATAAGCTCATTTTATTAATACAAAATTTTCAATCTTCTCATTCTATAAGCTCATTTTATTTACACAAAATTTTTACTGTTAATCAAAATTGTTATTTTTCAAATGTGTTTATTCTACTTTTGTATTATTTTTTTTAGTACCTGGTGTTTGACACTCAGCTGATGATTGGTGGAAAACATAAATACAGCTTATCACCTGAAGATTATATATTTGCTGCATTAAATATTTACATGGACATAATAAATCTGTTCTTAATGATCTTGCAAATTGTTGGATATGCTCGGGACTAGGTAACTAATAACTATATTTTACATTAGTCATAAGATTCAAAGACTGTCTTTTTTTCTTTCCTTTGAACCCCTTAACAGTAGCACTATTTGAGAAAAACTAGTACAAATGATAAAAGCAATTGCAGGAAAACAAACTTTAATGACAAGAATTAACTAAGAATATTAATGAAGCTAAATATTAATATTTTCATAGCTGCCAACCTTAGGAATAAAAAATTAGGAACACAATATGCGACAAAATTATACGCACCAATTACGAGAATAAGACAAAAATTTAACTATTAAATAATAACATTAATAGATATATATTTAAATACCGTATGTAAATTAGTAAAACAAAACACTATCTTTTGTTGTAAATTTATAATATTAATACTTCATAATTAGGAATACTGGTATAATAGCTTAAAAACAACCATTACCAATTAATTTATAATTATTCTCCTCTAAATTATAAAATACAGGTAAATAATAATCTACATTATAAACAAATATTTCTGATGCAACTGTTTAAATACTACAATGCATTTTTTAAAAAAAATAATAATTGTAATAATAGTAGTAGTTTGTGTAAAAATAATAATAGGTGTAATAATAGTTCAATTTAGTGAAATGATCAGCTACAGCTATTGTGCTAGTATTTTCCAATAAAAAGCTACTAAAAATTACTTTTGCACAATAATCACAAGAGCGCTTGCGGTGGGGAAAACAAGGGATTGATTTAAAAACAAAACACCTTTACGAAAATTCAGATTTTTTATAAAAATATCAGATTTGATTTAAAAATTAGAAACAAATCCAAAAAATTCTGAGCAGTTGTCAGCTATGATATTTTCCTTTACCAGCTAAAGTTTATTTTTTAATGTTATTTTTATCAACAACTAAACTGCTGATTTTTGATATCAAATAAGAAAAGAAAAAGCTCAATTTATCTGCATACTTTCTTCTTTGTTAGTGTATTTTATTTGTGACGTTGATCAAACTTAATAGTCCTTATTTACCATTTAACTAATCAAATAGTTAACAAAAACTGATATTACCCATAGTTTATTTATTGAAAAATATGTTTTGATCTTAGATGATCTTTAAGACACATTATGAGGAAAATTTTATACTAGACGTCCCTATGGATTTGGGATATGTAAAAAGATGAAAAGCTGGTAGTAAAACCATTAAAAAAATAATAAACTAATAGAATGAAGTGTCTATCATATCAGTTTTTGCTCTTTCCCGTTTTGATATGTATATTTAGGCCTTCAGCCTTGCACCCAACTGTATAAACATTTCCTTGCAGTGCATGTTTTTTCATCAATTGACACAGAGAAAACCATGCATTTTTTGTTCCTTTAATATTCAGATTTAAACTTTTCCCCCATATGTTTATATGCTTAAATTTTTATAGATGCAGGTGCTGTGAATTGCCTCACTGATAATGTATACAATTATATTAACTGTTTTTAAAATAAAACTCCTTTTCTCTTTTAGATTTTTGTATCTCACTTACTACTTTGGATGTTGTTTGATTTTCATTGTAATACGTCAAGCTAATGTTGTTCTAGTCGTTTGATATTTCATATGAAGCAACGTCATTGTATCCAGTATTTTTTTTACATTAGATGTTACTTGTAACCGCTATGCATTCCATTTTTATTCAGTTGTCATTTGTTTGAAGAAAAAAATCAGTGATTTTATTAATTTAACTAAGTCATTTCTGTACTATAAAATGCACTTGCCTACTGTCAACATTAAGGCTACATTTGTAACAGTCAGTGTAAAAGCTGCAGCACTAAGATCATGTGATGAATACATACTCTGATATTTGTTACAACCATTGAACAATTCTTATTTGAAAACTTAACTTGCTAGATTTTGACTCTTAAACCAAAAAAATTAGTAGATTGAAACTGACAATTACAAATCAGAGAACAGATTTATACAAATCACTCGTCTTAAACATAACTTTTATGCAGCATATTTACTTTTGAATCTTGAAATAACTTATCACTTTTGCTGTTTATAAAAAGGAAGCTATTATGAGAATCTTTTCTAAGGCGATTCTAGAGTCTAATCCACAGCAGTTACTATCAAGTTGAGCCTTTTTATTGTTATAGCTGTAAAGATTACAACTTTAGAGAGAGAATATATTTCAAGATATTGTCTTACACAGCATTTTTTTTTTCGTAACTTGAATGTAATGCATATTCTAATACTAAATCTAAAGATTGTTTCAACCTAGGTTTTTCACAATAATTTAAACTTGATAATTTTTTAAACCTATTTAAAAATTAACCTTTCTTTAATATATGTAAATATTTTTTATAAAAACAATATGATATGTTCATATCAAAAATTGTGATCCTGATTATTGGAAGAAATATTTGTTGTATATACAAGTGTGTGGTTGTATATATTAAATTTCCTTTAAACTTATGTGGAACACAATTTATGTACATATAGTTTAGCTGTTTCCACAAGGATTTGCTGCAATTAAAGAAAAGCACCTTCTTAATTGTATTAGGAGAAAATCCAGTCCTTAAGTTTTTAATTTTTCACCATAGAAATGCAATGAATAATAGTTACACTTTTGTTAGGATAAAAGTACTTCAGCTCTAAAAACATTTTCAGTTTTAATTCCTTATTCAAAGAACTACATGAATATTGAATTTTAGAATTCTAAAAGACATACGATAGTGTTATAAAATACTATCAGCTATTAATTTGAAATAGTACAAAAAGGATCCTTTTTGTACTATCAGTAGCTTAGTATCTTTTATTTTGCTATAATTACCAACATTGATCAGCAAATATTTCAAGATGCAGCAAATCAAGATAATCTATCCTCGCATATGTATATGCCTGCTTAAGTAGTTATGTACCTATTACGTATATCAGTTGAAAATAATAATTGGAGATATCAGATGTTGAATTTGTCTAAAATGAATTGTCAAGATATAAAATTCAACAAATTAAAATTAATGACGTAAAAATCATATCCCCAACTAGAATAAACGGCTTGCTTTTCTCTCATACATTAAATAGACAGATACCCTCCTGCAACGAGTTGATTTTTTATAAATTGATTGATTTTTTCAAAATTTGATAAGTAGTTAAGTAAAAAATGCCTGGTCAGTTTTGTAAGACTCCCCCCTCTTTATATGAAAAAACAAATCCTATAACTGTAATATTACAACAAAGAAACTAATTATCCAGTGAAGATATTGTGCAACATTTGTCATAATATAAATTGATCAATGCCCAAGGCGAATTGTTTGCCGAAATATACCAGTGATAGCATTTGCAACTATTTTTGAGTGTGAAAGGAACCAGCAATAGGGATTAATGAATATTGGGATGACCAAATAACTGGCTAGATTTAATAAAAAATTTAATATTTTATTTTTAAATATACATTAGAAATTGTTTTCACACATATTTGTTAAGTTCTAAATTTTGTTAAGCTGAAAGACAAATTTATATTATTTTATAATAATGACTAAAATTACTTATATACAAAATTTCGAAGATTTTTTTTTTCCTTTGCCATTCTGCTGAATCACTACTCATTACACCCCTGTACGAATCGCAGCTTTTCTTAGCATATTTACTTTAGAACTGCGCAACCACAGAGCATAAGTAGAAATTGTTTGGTATTTAACACAGTATTTTATTTTTGGTTTAAATTTGTATCTCTTCTTTCTTCAGGTGGATTTGTATACAAGCTGACCTCATACATACTGATTTTTTTTTTTTTTTGAAATTGCCAGTTTTTTCAGGACCTTAGAAATATGGTAATTTTATCTTTATAGACTCAGAAAATAAAATGACTATTTCTTACTAAGGACTATTCCTTACTGTTCTTATTAATATGTATATGCATAAAATATTTGCATACAATAGGAAAAATGGTTCAGAATTTTGACGTCATTCTTATGCTATTAATAAATGCTTTTCACAGAGCTACAGAATTAGCCTATTATAAGGGTTTATTTCGGAGATTACCATTTTATTTAAATTAGCTGAAACTTTAAATGAATTAGTTCTAAAACTGAAACAGATTTGTGAGTGTATGACTGTTGGTCAAATCAGTGAAAAATATATAATTGAGTGTTGCATGTAAATATTTTCTAAAAACTTACTTCCTTCACAATGTCAGTACAACTATAAACATTCCAATGTGGATATGGATGGCTTTATCACTTATTTCTATTTGCCTTTTACTCTAGTATAAATTAACTGATTAAATATGTTACACTTTCTGTATATTTTGATGTATAAAATTAAAATTCGAAATCTAAGGTTTACTATTTTAACAGCAACATATTTGTGCCAAAATTTTTCAAAAAAACGAAACACTTATTGTTGTGATCTGCATAGAAACAAAGAAAACATGTAGAGACAAGAAATGTAATTGTCCCCAAAACTTCTTTTTATGTCTTTCAACCTGCAGCCTGAGAGCTTCTGAACAAAATGAAAAAATTTCAAAAATTTATAAGCACACACTATTGTAAATATATTGCTTCTCGATCGTATTTTCTATGATTACTGCTATGAATTTCAGATAATGAAAAAACTATTATTTATAATACGCTGCATTTGAGTAATCACCAACTCTCTATCTTTGTAGATTTCATCAGAAATACTAGTGATGATTCAATGTTTTTTTTTTGTTGGCATTTATAAGTACCTTTTCCACGTGGTTCGTAAAATTCCAATTTGATCACTTTATGATGTGCTTCATAATTTCAGATTTTACTGTAAATCTAAATATCATAATTATTTATATTTTCTTAAAGGCTGTTTCTACTAGTCTTTTCTATGTAATTTTGACAATCCCATATTTTTTCATAGTTCACACCATAACTGTTATCCATTATAATAATTATTATTTGATTAATGTAATTAACATATTATACTAAACATAGCTGTAATTAATGTTATCAGATGTAGCTGTATTTGTAATAAAGTCCTTATTACTAAGCTAAGAAGTCTCTTACTTTACTTAATAAGCTGGTCTTTATTTTAATAATTATGTCACTGACCCATTCCCTTATAGTAAGTCCAGATAGACAGGCTTTAGTGGGCCTGTAGGGTTGAAGGATTAAGCGATGAGTGGTGCCTTTATACCAGCAGGCCTAGATCTTTTGGTTTTGGATCAGAGTGTGGGCATGGTTTTATTACATAGAGGCTAACACAAGTCTACTTTCCAGGTCTGCTGGCCACCTGCAACGACAGACTCCGTATTGTTTCTTGGATATTATAAAGACGCGAGAGTTTCAAACCGTAAATTTAAGTCACTTTTTGACGCACTTTGCTTTAGTTGTAGATCAAACCCTAATTTTTTTTTTAAATTTAAATATTTAATTCAAATTTATATTACTCATTAAATTATGTACACATTTTTGCACATTTGAGGAGACAACATTCATTTAATAATTATTAGAGAGAGAACCATTCAAGTTACACAAAATAGACAAAGGAATAACATAAAAAGTTTTTATGTTACACATATATTTCTTTCTTTTAATAAATAAATTTTTGAGAAGAAAGGAAAACATTTTTTGAAAATTATCAGTTTTATTCATTTTTGAATAGATTCTAAAAAAAATATATAATTTTCTGCAAGTGTACGGATAAAATTTAGCAGTTAGAACACTAATGTTTATCGAAATATCATATTTGCCATCAACAAGCGGCCCTTAGTTGTCAGCCAATCTATTCAAAAGGGTGGTACGCTGTCTTAGTCTTTTTATTTTTGATTGCATGTTTATCACAAAATAGAAACCTCCCCAGAATTTTTTTTTTAAAAATGAAAACTAGGGCAAATTCAGTATTCAAGGGTATTTATTAATCTCGCTAAAATTATTAATATAAGCTATCTCATCTTTGAATTTCCACCTGATCATTCTTGGTACTTTGGAAAAATACCTCGATGGAGTCCTTAGCCCAATATCTTGAGGAAAGGGCAGGCGGCTCTCATGCTTTTTATAGTGGTCACATCAAATCCTTCACCTTTCAGCAGGAAGGAAGATTCTTTCCCGAGTGTCACAAGCGCAATGCCAATCAGGCCTCCCACAACCATATTCCCAGATGCTTCAGTTTTCTTAATAACGAGACTTTAGGGAAGCCGTATTTGGTTTTATAGAGATAACCAAATTTTAAAACCCAAGAGAAATTTTGTAACAATAACCAATGTAAAAGAGATCGAGAAACAACAGATTTACAATAAAATCAGTGCGCATTGAGCACATCAAAGGACAATTCAATTTTTTTTTAATTCTCCAAAAAAAGAAGGGAAGTCATTGCGTTCAGAAGCTTTCGCAGGCCACAAGCTGTGCATCCCTAACAGGATTGGCAGGTTTTTGACGGTTTAAACCAGGGGTGTCAAACTCGCGGCCCGAGATGAACATTTTTGTGGCCCAGTCATTATATCCGAAGCAAAGTAAAAATAAAATAGAAATGTGCATTAGAAACAATCCAGCATATAAAATTATAATAAATTTTATTTATACGGATCATTTTAAATCGTACTCGAGAAATGTAAAATTCTAATTGGCTGAAATGGAGTCCATTTCACACTAAGCTATCAATTAGATAGTACATATTCAGGTTCATCCTACTATAGTGAGGTACATTGGTTATCTTGCTCCCAGCTTTTCAAACAATTCTGGGATATGAAAGAAGAATTACGTAAGTTTTTACAAACTAAAAATCAAGATAAAAGCTTGTTCTCCGATCAAATACGGTTGCAAGGTTTATCTTTTATGGCTGATGTAACCAAACACTTATCCAATTTAAATTTATTGTTACAAGTCAAGGATCAGATCATTACGAACATGTTTGACATAATTAAAGCATTCAAATGCTAACTATTTCTTTGGGAAACGTAACTGAAAAATGAGGATTTAACTCACTTCCCAACGTGCAACAAGAACAAATCTAGTTTGTTCTTGTTGATTTATACGCAGATGAAACTGCATCGTATCAAAAATACGCAGAAAAAAATTTCAAATCTTAAGACAGAATTTGAAACAAGGTTTAAAGATTATAATTCTTTGGAAGACAAATTGTGTTTGTTTTCTTCAATTTTCTCAATAAATATAGACTCAGTATCCAGTTACATGTAAATGAAAGTGATTGAGATTCAGTGTGACTCAAATTTGAAGGCAAAAGTCATTGAAGTGGGTGCCTGAATTTTACGAATATTTACCGGCAAGGTTTGAAAATACTCGAAAATTCACATATGAAATTATTTCCATGTTTGGATGTACTTATCAGTGAGAGCAATTATTTTCTGTTAAGAATGGAAATAAATCTCCTGTTCGAAACCGTATTAATTACGCTCACGTTGAGTCAATTTTGAAAGTAGTTTTGGGCAATAAAATTTCTCCCAATATAGAAAAGATAGTAAGTAGAAGAGAAGAGATGTCAAAATATCAGGACATAAACAATAATTTAACTTTATGTATGTTTATTACAATTTAAAATAAAAATATTTGTTTTCTATGAACATTGATTTTTCTTCTTTTTTTTTTGCGGCCCACCTAAAGTTAAGCATTGTTTATTTGGCCCAAGTTAGCTTTTGAGTTTGACACCCCTGGTTTAAACAGTCACGTCAAAAACCTTACTGTCAAAAACCTATACCCATATATGAAATTTAATTAATATTAATACATAAAATTTATATATTTTTTTATAAAGGATAGTGTTTCTAAATATGTTCTAGAAAAAATAAATTTAAAATTTTGAAGAAACACTTATATTTTGAATAGTAACCAAAATCTTGTACTTTTGAAAGCTCACATCTTTTGTAATATTATGTATTCATTTTCATGTGTTATTGAAAATCTGCAGTGATATTATTAAGAAATTTATTTATAACCAAATTTAGTGTATAGTATAGATTATACTAAAAATTAGACATTTTTAAAGATAAACATTAGCAGTTTTGTACATTAGACATCTT